ATTGGAATACTTATAGGTCATTTTTGTAAACCTATCTACTTTTTCTACTTAAGAGAGGAAGGCAAATATTTTATCTCGTTCGACTCATCCTACCACCAGTCACAAAAGTATGCATCGCTTTTTTTTCTTTTCTTCGGAAAAGTCGAAATTCTACCCATAATTCTTGATTTTTTCTAACAGAACTCAACTTCTATTAAATGAAAACATCATTTTCGAAATCAGGATCAAAAGCTGAGTCGAATGAGATGTATTTCTATCCTATCTGACTACTTTAATTTTTTTCGAATTCTTACGTTGAAAATGATCGAGATTTTCACCAAAGAATGAAAAGCAACTAAACATTTTGAAATACACATCATTCGACTCAATTTTTTGATCCTGATTCTGAATATGGTGTTTTCATTCCATAGAAGTTGAGTTCTGTCAAAGAAAATCGACAACTACCGATAGAATTCCGACTTTTTCGCCTGTGATTTAGAAAAAATGATTTTTCTCAACAAAGAAAAGAAAAGAAAAGAAAAATAAAAGCGACGCATACTTTTGTGACTGGTGGTATGATGAGTCGAACGAGATAAAATATTTGCCTTCCTCTCTTAAGTAGAAAAAGTAGATAGGTTTACAAAAATGACCTATAAGTATTCCAATGGGCGCAATTCGAACCACCGCCATCGAAAGGCTTCTTAGGTTAAAGTCGATTTAACGTTGTGCCTATACTCAGTTTTAAACACTGAATCCGAAAAAAATAGTCTCATAAGCTCAACAAAAGAGCAAAACACAAAATTTCGCATATTTTCGAAAACCATGTTTTTCGGAAAAACCAGTCCTCGTCAAGTTTTTCAATTTTTTCCACCTGAAAAAATATTTCTGAAAGCTAGGAACCAGTTTTTCTTAATCAGCGGCTCACGCTCTATCAAGCCATATATAAAAAAATGCAAAAAAGAATTTTACTGAAAGTTCTAATTTCGGACACCTTACAAATCTCCAGAAATTGGCGCATAGCAGAAGTAGAACTGAAGCATAGTTTTACTGTTATGATAAATTTATCATACGTAGATTTCTGAATTTTATTTTTTGTGTTGAATCGCTTCCGTGTGGAGATTTTCTGGAAATACACCGCTGCAGCACTTCTATTAGATCGGAATCGGCCTATCTGTTCTTTAGAATTGTTCCAGACTGCTGATGTGTATTTTCAAAGGATCTAGAGGACGGTGATGCCTGCGATTGGAATTCCGACCTAATGCTGTTTGCCACTAAAGCCGAGTTGTTTTTATTATACCCTTCCTTCGGCTTAAGATCCTTTATGGATCATAGACAGTTTTGTCTGCTTTGCAAAATGGCTACTCAGCATTTATTAGTTTTAATGTATGACAGACACTCTTTTGATGTCTGATAGCCGTTTCGATCATTATACATAAAATCGGCACAATTCACTGTGACACATTTCTAAGGATTTATTTCAAAATTCATCTGGTGCTTGAGTCTGTTGCTTTTACTTTGTTATAAATCTGTTCTAATTCAGTGAAAGTCATTCAGTGAGATGAGACCAAGAATGAGAAGTTTTGTATGAAAGAAGAAGCAAAACCTACATATTGTTTTTTAGTCATCAAACTGTGTGCTTCCAGAAGATCTGAACAATTCACAAGTTATATTTGACAATCTAGAAAGACATATACTAGCATTAAAAAGTTACGAATATTTGCAAATAGCTGATCATGTGGAACAGTCTATGATCGATTTTTCGAACAACACTGATCCTGAAAAAACCGGTGATACTATTAATGAAAGTATTCAAAAAGATACTGCCACATCGGCAGTTGAATTGGAAATATTGCAATACACGGATCCACGCGCTTTTCTCGATTTTATTCATATTATATTGGTTAAATATCTCAATATACTTCAACTGGACGACAAACATCTTACAATGTGTTCTAACGAACTTGATAACTTTCTCCAGACAGTAGATGGCTATGTGGCAGATTTTTCTGACTGGAATTATCTGTTCACAGATAATCAGAAATATGCGCATGAAACATTCGACTTATTTTTCAACGTACTAAGTTCAACATCAATTTTGAATGATTTACAAAATCAAGAAATTGATAAACCAAAACGAAACGCGTGTTCTATAATATTTTCTATCGTTCAGACCGTGTGCGAGAGTTTAATGAGTTTTACCGTGTTTACAAATAGTGATTTTGATTCTTATATACCGCTCCTTGAAGCATTTATCACATACATCAGTCGTGATTTTGAATCGTTGGACACGACCATGAACGATCAACTTCAGTCATTGACCAGCAACGATGATCCAGATCACTCTCTTCTGTCCGAGAATCAAGACATATTGGCGCTTCCACTAAATGCATTCATAACCAATACTATATTAGTTTTAATTAATACCTTGGCCAATAAAACCATTCTTGTTCCAGTTTTTGTTAAGACGGGATATCCAAAAGCTGTGTTGAATTGGATTACACTTTCATATTTGTCTGAGTCTTTACAAAATTCAATTATGCACGTAATTAATAATATAGCACGGCATGATATTGGTGCCGATGCTCTAAATATGAATAATGCACTATCAGCGTTACAAACATTTAAAGAAAATATTCTAGACAAGCGAACAAATTCTCAAATCGAAAATCAAGATCTGGACACAAGTTTACTGTATTCTATGACAGTTGCACTTTTATCTGATCCAGAACAAATTAAAAAAGGTTCCAAAACAATGAACAAAATACTTGATCAATTGCTACGAATGGTGATTGAAACAGCTATAATCGAAGAATGTCGCGGTTATCATTTATCGGAACCACTTGTTGTATTAACAAAATTATTTATGAATGATGATGTTGTTGATTATGTACTTAAGCATGCACAAGTTGAAAAAGACGACAACAAAAATAAATCGAATCTACAAATATTTTGCGATACGTTGATATTCCACACAGACATGCCAAATAACGAGAAACACGACAGCGCCAGTTCCAATGACAGTGGCAGCGAAACTAAAAATGAAGACGAAAATGAAGAGAATCGTATGTTGAAACAGTTAATAAGAATTGCCTTATGTAATCTGTTGTGGAGTGTTTCATTTCATAGTCAGTATAAGAACGAAATGAGAGAAAATGATGGATTTATGACTACTATTAAATATTTAGCTGTAAATGGGGAAGTTTCACTTCAACAATTCGTACCAAAACATCTGTCAAGTATAAAGAAAGCAGCTGATGGCATATTGTGGAACTTAAACGAATCAATCCCAGGTGCAAAACCAAAAAGCTCTCAAAAAAGTACTCCGGAAAACACAGCAACAACGAATATCAGCAAGACACCATTGGTAATGATCAGCTATTCCCATGAGGACGATACCTTTTGTAGAAATCTCGACTATGCATTAATAGAAAATGCTCAACTTGATGCATGGACTGATTATAAGGACAATGATGTTCAAAAAGACATTTCACATACCGATAATTTATGGGAAAATATCGCAAATGTAATGGAAGCATCAGATATCATTCTTTTATTAATAACAAAAGATTACTTTAATAGTAATTCATGCCGACAAGAAGCTGAATATGCTAAATATTCATTGAAAAAGCGTATTATCCCAATCTATTTAACAAACGACTACGAAGCACGAGGATGGCTTGGAATTATGATTGCTGGACACAAACATATTCGATTCGGTAGAAAAACGTTTGATTCAACGATAATAGAATTGATTAAACGAATTACGGATTATGTACCAGCGAAAACGACGATACAAAATCGAGCAGAAAGCGCTCCAGTGTTGCCTCAATTAGTAGTAGAAAATATAGCGAGAACAACAACGAACAGTAAGGAATAAAAGAAAAATGACTTCTATTATGTTTACTAGCCAACAAGTAATGCGAACAAGTTCGGCTTAAAAGTGATGGAAGCAAAAATAAAGTGCGACGTCAAAGGGCTAACGCATTCCTTTTCTTGATAAAAGACGAGCTTTCCTTGTTCCAAATGTAGTTAAAACGGCTTAAAGCCGTCCAAATTGGACTTTGATAAAAATTCATCAAAGACTGTAGCATAGTGCGTCCCACTCAACCTGTTGGGATTCGTGTTGTTTGTAATGTGCTTTGATAATATCATCTTTGCACCACAGTCAATGCGAATGCCAGCGGATGCCCCTGTGATGAATGCCATACTGATAGTAGAAATCGGAGTTTCAATAGCATCTACATGATACTTTGTTCCACCTGAAGGCAATATTGAAACTTTTATTTCTTTTATCCTTCAAGTCTCCCAGCGTGAGCATAAGGTCTTTCTAGGGTTTGCTTGCCTATATTCAGAATATTTGTAGTGCTACAGTCTTCCAATGACACTTTGGCCATCAGGACTACATCTGCTTCCAGACAACAACAGCCACGAAAATCAGTCGATCACTGGACATTAGAAGACATTAATCACTGGTTTAGTTTTAATCATATTCAACCAGAATTACGTTCATTATTTACATTTCCGACTGGAACGGCCATGGTCCGTTATGCTGATTACTTAAAATGCAATAGTAAGAAAGAATATGAAGCAAAATGTACAAAATTCGAAGATAAATATCATAAAAAATTAGATGCTGATCAGTTTTTTGTCTTTGAAGATGCCTTGTGTCGGCTAAGTGATGAATATGGAAAGATGAGACAACCGTCAGGACAGGAACTGACACCTCCAGATCATCCACAACCGTCGCAACAACGTCAACAGCCAAATCTGAGAACTTCACGATTCTGTATAATCATATAGAACTTGATTGAAATCATACGCCGCAAAAGCAAGCAACAGCAACAGACGATATGTGGTTTACCGACACCTTGTACCTTATTTAAACAACATTCACTGCATATTTTTTGAAATCTTATTATGAAAAATAATATAGTTGTTCCCGATTTCTTATGCCTCACGTACAGTATTCATATTACAAAATCAGAAATACATGAAATTGAATAAAACCTTCTGAGATTTTTCTTTTAAAGTTGTAAAATTACGCTCTCAAGAAATATATTTTATGTCCCTATTCTACAGCGTTTCACTGTTTGTAAGGACAGATATGATGGAATCCCAAAGCTTCAAAATACAACCAATTAAATCCAATAAACAGCTGTATAATTAAAATTACAAATAAAATTGAATAAAGATTTTTATGAGAATAAGTTGTTGATTGTGATCGATCTGAATATTGTACACTTGCTATATCGTCTGTCGCAAGTGTACGCAACTATGAAAGTCTAAAGAATAATATGGTAAAAGAAAGATTCAAGCTGGTGTTAGCGAATAGATTTGAAGCTCTTCGAAATGTCACAGCAAACCATCAACCAAATTCGGTTGATGCAACAGTAAATGAGGTGCTGGGGCGCAAGAAAACAATTAGCAAGAAAACGTGGCTTAAAGAAAGAGCAATCATGTTTATGAAAGATCCGGACAATACAAAATTGTTCTATGAACGTACTACCCATGTAACAATTTTGACACTAAAAAACGTGTTCACAAACGACGTTTATAAATGCAATCCAAACGCGTTTAAACGGCTTAGAAATGAAACATTTGCAGTGTTCAAACATTTCTTGCTTCGCTTATGCACAAACGCGTTCCAACGCATTTACATGGCGAGTAGCGTTCAAACGCGTTTTGTTCATCACACGCCGTGTTTACTGAATAAATAGTTTCTATTGATTTTAAGCAAGAATGCATTTAAGACCTTAATCTTTTTTTTGGGACGTAGCGTAGACATCAAATAAGTTATAAGACTGAACTTAAATCGCAGCAGAATACTCTAAGCTACCCAGGTCAAAAAATCAGATCAAGATCTTACACGATCTTGTAAAATCATACGGAAAATCATTGAAACGGATTCATCTTATAAAATGCTATAAAAATCATACAAGAATTTTACGAAATCTGATGAAATCTTACTATAAGATCTTACATCAAGAATCAGTTTCTATGTTTCTTATAGAACCTTACGAAATCAGGCGGAATCGTACAAGCTTCTTTGACCTGGATAATCTCCTACGCATTGGTTTACTTCTACGCCTCACCTTCATAGTTTATTGATGGATTCCGGCGTTACTCGTTAAAAATATTCAGATAAATATTACAAACAGTATTTAAAATCTTCGAGGGTGCAAACGACTAGATGAGGACAATTTTCCGAACTGGAAAAAGAGACAAAAATGCGATTCTTCCAGCTCGTTGTTAGTAGTGAATAATAGCTGTCACATTCAACTTGCTTTGCATTGAGCCTTACGACTAGCAGGAACTTTTTAAGACCAGTGCAAAACAATCAATTCTTTCGTTGACAGAAGTTACCTGCCAATATCAACTGCCGGATCTGTCTTGGTTAATTCAAAAATCGAACTGTGACATGATTTTGAGGATATCTCTCGGAAGCAACTTTAGCGAAAAAGGCAAATATCATAGCAATTCTTAACGTTTTTCAAAGGTAGGTGGTAGACTTTTTGAATCCCACTCAACATTTCGTCTGACGGCTAGTTTTTAACCATTGCTGAAGTTACCCGCTACTGACAACTGTTAATGGCAAAAACCTTCTGGCAGCGCGGTTCTCTTCTATACTACATTCAAAACGATAGCATTAACTAACGGGTTTTGTTCGAACTCTACTGGATGAATAATTGCACGAATCATAAATCAGCAAACAATGCTCTGCAACGAATACAGTTTTTTAAATAATGAAAAGAAAGTTTGGTTGCACTGGGATTTTCCAACTTTTATTCTCTTAATTAAACTGTTTTTGGTTGCAAAATCTTTGACCAATAGTTTCTAAGTGAATTGTTTTCGTTATCTCACGCAATTTTATGCCGTAATCAACAAAATTATCGTAAAACACTGTAATGACGGCGTAGTTATTGGATAAATCATAAGGACGGCGAAACATTAAAAATATCGAGGACATGGGAGGGGGGAAAAGCAGAAACTCTGTACTTTAGCGTACTTCACTGTACCTAACTGCAGTTCAAGACAATGTCAAAGCTACTCTGGAGAACTTTTTAGCTTTTTCAAGTCTACCATCAACTTGTGCCCTGGCATGTTAACCGTAGTCCAGTCTGTGCAAGTCTATCCGACAATAAAGTCCAAATACTTCATTGTACTTTATAGATACTCAAATTTTGAACTACAATGAAGTACACTAAAATACAGAGTTTTTGCTTTCTCCTCTTCATCTCGAGCCATTTTAGAATGAGAAAATCTTTTTATTTTGTCGAAAGTTCTAATAATCATATATGCAACAGATACAATCGTACTTTAGAGATTCATAACAGTTGGCTTTCGATGTAAAAATATCCATACCATTTATTTTTGGTTTTTAGAATTTATCGTTTGCATTCTAAGAGGAAAAAATACTTAGATATATTCGTATCTTCTTCAGATTGGTAGTAGAAAACTAAAATGATGTAACATTAGCTATATCAGTCTCGTTATCCTTAGTTGATTTGTTCTTTCCCTAATATTTTTTCAAATATTGTCGAGACATTTCATTACGTTAGAGCCAAATCAGTAAAAACTAAAGGAAGACGGCCGACATCATTAGTCCGAAACGTCCACAACACTTATCAAGCATAGTATGGAATGTTTCGCACATCCATTAGTGATCTCTTATAGAAATGTCCTTGAAACATATCTGGATTAGTCTAGAATGTTCTTGAACCCAGTCATGCCTAGTTCGTGTTGTCCATCGATCCCATCCAGACTAGTCGAACGACTAAAAGCAAAAAAGAAGAAAAGTGGATTTAAACATTCAATCCGACAATATTCAAATTGTCTTAAAAACTGGAGAGGGGTACTTCCAAATTTGTTAACTTTTTCATCTGTCAAGTTGACAGAGTATACACTCATTTTATAACGAATGCGATGTTCCTTTTGGGTAAAACGATAAAATTTGTTCTTTTCGTTTGTTGCCTTACATCTATTTCTATGTGCACACAGAAGGTACATTGACAGCTCTGTATCTCAAAAATTAGACTGTACCCTTTTCTAAAAAATAGCTCGGCATAGAGCACAACTTGTGTACTTCAAACTGACGTAGAAAACGGAGAGGGGTACTTCCAAATTTGTTAACTTTTTAATCTGTCAAGTTGACAGAATATAGAGTAAGTTCATACTGATTGCAGTGAGCATTTTTATGAAAAGAAGAATTTTTTCACTTTTCACTTTCTTGC